ATGAGAAATTTGGGAAAGCATGCTCTCTAGAATGTACTATTCATGGTGCTGTTAGAGCATGAAACATACTGTGTTAGCAACAGTATCAATAGTACTTCAGGAACTAATCTGACTCCTTGAACAAAGTTTTCAGGAGATTAAAAATGTATTTATTTTTTATTTTGAAAAGAAGGGTGTACTTGACCCTGTTCCTAAGGAAAATAGACGGCTATGCACTTGAAGCTGGGTTTGCCACTGTGCCACAGGAGAGGTACGTCAATCAAAAAGTGGAATAACCCTAGGAGGAGGCAGACCCCTCTGCTCCTCCGTGGCTTCAGGTGTTAGCATCATTGGAAAGAAAAAAGAAATGACCATGACACTGCATGGAAAGGTCCCTGAACAATCCCAGCCCCTGTCTTTGGTAGAAAAAGACCAAGCTTAGGGAGTGAACTTAAACATCGCGCAGTGCAGTAAGGTGTCATTACATTACCAAGTTGGCGCTAGCATCTTTCTGCTTGAGTCAGCTGTCCCGCTGAACACAGACAGGTAGATCTTTTTTTACAGCATTTTGAGTATTATAACGAAGTCACAGGCTCCCTCTGCTGGGTTTCCACTCTAGGAGACTAGTGGCAAAGCTCCTGTCAGGTTATTTGTAGACTGACCCATTTTTTTTGAGCTTTTTTTTTGGGCAGTTTCTACAGCATCAGAAAAAGTGTATGATCAAATTCATGTGAATTGCTTTTTAGAAGTGTAACAGAGAGGTTTGATGTGTTAGATGCGTATTAACGTTTTTTTACACACATAGAAGGCAGCTTTTTCCACAATAATGTAGGTGTAGCTGTTACCTCCTAAAAGTACTGATGCATCTATTAAAAAATAATGATACTTGTCATTCAGTAATGCCTTCTGTTACCTACAGAAAAGAGCTCTTTTAAAAGAATTAAAAGCTTACAGTCCTCAAATATAGTCCACACAGTATGCAGGTTTATGTAGCAGTGGTTTTCAAAAGGCAAATCGTGAGCAAAGGGGCTTATAGCCAGCATTCAGAGGAATGATGAGGTGCTGAAAATGCTACTGTAATCAGAAGCAAAGAAGAGCTAGTCCTGCTTCTTTCTGCCTAATCCTTAAGGTCAGGATTTCTGTCTAAGAGTTTTTGAAACACATATCTAGGGCCTAGCATTGTCAAAACCAATATATTACAAAATCTCTCTTAGTAGATTAAAAGAAGTTGTGAAATTATTTACTTCCAACTAAACAATTTCAGGTTGAGAAAGACTTAACAAGAAAAAAGGATGATGTTCTGTGATTGCTCTAGGCATAGGACTTCCTTGCTGACTTTTAACAGGGATTTAGCGAATAAAGTACCTGCCTTAAATAATTCACAAATCTGTGGCGCGCCTTAATGGGAGAAGGCGTATTGTCTGCAGTGGCACAAGAGAAAAATGGAGAGACTTTAGAAACAATCACAGTGGGGTTTTTGCTATAAGCAGGGCTCCTAGGCACAGGCAGCAGTACAAATACTAAGTATTGTAGTGCTGCTTAAGTGGTTTGCTTAAAGTAAAAGATATATGGGAACGCAGCTGTCACCGGTGTGAGCGGAACAGTTATTTAACAGCACACAGCATCACTGGACAGTGATTTAAAACAGAAAATAAAGAACTCCACTGACCAATTGATACAAAAATTGCAGGGGAAACGTGGAATGCATATATTCCAAACTTTGAGCTAGTGAGGGGACTAAACTTCTAATGTGATCGGATAGGTTGTGGTGTCTTTAAAAGTACAAAAAGGGTTAGCTGAAATATTAAACGACCAGCAATATATCTCTTAGTGTCAGTAGTCTTTTGGCTAAGTACTGACATGATAAAGAATAATTTTACCTACTGTGTAGCCAGCTCATATTAAATGACGTTCCAGAAGTTATTCAGAAAATGTAGCTATCTCAAGCATGACATTTTTTTTTCTGGGTATCATATTCTCATATTTGCTTTATTCTTCATCAAAGCATCTGAGAGCTTTCACCAGAGGACGTGATATCAATATGTGATTTATCCTTTCAAAGCCTTTGGGATGATCAGTCCATTTCTTTGCCGTCCATAATTAAACATATTGCTTCAGTAATTCCCAGGGGCAAGGAGGCATTGTGACTATGCTGAAATAAAAATGAACTTTGTAGAACCATGGCTACACCGTCTGTGGTTATGATTAATGTATTCTATGATTGTTGTTTTGGTCATAAGGTTTTAGCTGTTTTATTAAAGATATTGTGAGGGGGCATACAGAGACTCGCCACAGATTTTATTGGCACGGTGAAAGAAATCTGAGGAGGTTTTAACACAGAATTGGTTGAAATAAAATGTAGCAAAGCAATGGCGATCTTAAATGTGATTTCTGATCATTCAGCCTTTGAAAGGCCACTAATAATGATGGTAAGTGAGAGTGTCTATTCCAGCCAACCATTTCCTAGAATAAGGAGCAAATACAAATCTTTCATATTTAAGTTTTTTGGAGAACAGAGGCAGCAGCCCTACAATGACTGTGGATTGAGGCACTTGGTAAGAGATATTTGGAGTCAGCACAAAAATATTTAGCTATTAGTTAGGACACATCTCCTACCTGCCTTAAGCATACAGGTCAGTCCGAGTGGCCAGAGAGAAGGATGCTTTCAAGATATACAGGTTATCTTCTTTTCCATTTTCTTTGGTGATGTGGAAGTGGGTCAGGATGGGTTGATTTCTATCATCCATTCTAATAATGATTTTAAATAATCATTTTTCATCTGGCTTTGCATGTGGGCTTTTTTGCGTTCTGAAAAAGATGTGATATTCATTAGCGTCTTTCATTATGTCCTGCTCATTGCAGGGGGGTTGGACTAGATGACCCTTAAAGGTCCCTTCCAACCCAAAGCATTCTATGATTATCCCAGCGAAAAGGGTATATACTATGTATACACTTAAGGAATCATAGTGCTTAAGTGTTTGACTTTTTCCGCTTACTTTATATTAAAAAATGATGAACAATGCATTTCTTGCTAGCTGATACTTCTTTATGCAGCATTGTGCAAGGCTGGATTTGGGTAGAAGTTTAAATCTATTTAAAATACACAATCAGCATTTTAAAATAGTCATTAATTCAATTTAAAAATTAAATGAGCTGAACATAAAAATAAGCTTAGCAAAACATGGTTTGTATTGAAAGCCAGTTGATTTATTAAGTAAAGGAACCATTACATACAAAAATGAATTGACTATGATTTTTCTAACCAGTGTGCCTTTGCCTTCCAGAATTACAACTAGAAGATCTTATCCTTTACATTTATTTTTAAAAGATTACCTTACTAATATCTTTTACAAAGTATAGAATTTGGAGAACTAGGTCCCAAACTGCAAGACAGTAAAATGAGAGCTCTGGAGAGAATGCAGTGTGTCTCACTATGTGTCTGCTCTCCTCATTTGCTTGGGATTTAAACCATTCCTTTAAATTCAGTGTAGCTAAAACAATTCCTTTAAAAATGACTGGAAATGAATGAAGTCTCCAGATGTTAATGGCTTATTTACTTCTAGTGCAGTAACATTAAAGAACACTAATCAAGATCAGGAGTAGGTTGTTCTCCAGGTTGTACAAGTATCATAGGCATTTGGAGCAGCTGTAATAAAATGCCTTGTTGTCAGGAAGCAAGGTAAGATAGACAAACAAGATTTTTCAGACCTTAGTTTTATGTCAAGATTTAAGTGGCATTAATTATCCATAGTATCTTTTATATGCCAAATAAGAGAATATAGTTTATAACAGATGCTACCTCCATACTTAATGCTAGCAGTATTTTTTAAACTTGAAGAAATAATTGTTAATCCTATGATAATAAAAATTATAGCAAAACCAAATGTGTTCAGAAACATTTTAAAGACATTATCTTGATATTCCAATTAGTCTTAGGATTTCTATTTATCTTGTCAAGGCTATGTCTACAGCCTTTTTTATGCCTCATTTTGCCTTTTTCCTTTCTCAGTTCTCTCTTCATAAGTTGAAATATATTTTTGCAATGCACAGCTGCCATACAGGCTTTCCCCTAAAGCCAAAACAGTGCTTCAACAAAATTCTGTAAATGACCTAGGTGTTGGTCAGTAATGTACAGATGTGGCTGACAGAGGAAATTGGTGGTGATTGCAGTGAACTGCATATGATTAGAGCTGTAATTAAAACCTGTAAAACTGATTCCTCACTGAATGCTTTAGGTCAGTCACTTGGAAAAGTTCATGTCTGGTGAAATACATGATTCGTCAATCTTATTTACTTTTGACACCACTAAGAGTAAGGCGTTAGTCGTGTCTTAGGGCTGCATTAAAGGCAGTGTTGACCCATTCGTGATGGTGAAGTCCCATAAACATAGCTAACCTGTCTTCATAGAAACCTGTCTTGCACTTAATTTTTCTTAGCATTTTGTTGAAATAAGAAGGTCCAATTCTTTTTCCAAGATATTTCTGAACCCACATATGTAGTGTTGATTTTCAGTAAAAGTTAGTACCCTCTTCCTTGCTTCCTCTTTTTTATCTTGTCTGCAGAAAAAGCTGTCTAGCTCGGTATGTCCCAATAAAGCCTGTAACGTTTACTTCTTCTCTGAGTCTGTTTTCCTTTGTCTTCTCCTAGTGCCTCTTCCTCCAGTCTGCAGGCTGTTGTTCGGCAGCTTGCCTGGTGCTTGTTGTCAGCTTCCATCAGACTGATGGGTCTGTGGGAAGGAAAGGCAGGAGCTCTTAGTGGGCTTCTTTTCACCTCGTCTGTGCAGCTAAAGATTTGGCATTCACTTTCCTGAGATGGGATGAAACTCTGTTTTTGAGAAACATTATGTATATTTACTCCTTTATGTCAGGAGCTCTTTAATAATGATGCACATTACAACATGCTCATAAGATTAAAGGCAGTACTTTGTCTTGTGCACCAACAAAAAAGGAGAGTCCTGAAAAATGTCTAAAAAATGAAATTATTATAATAGACTTGATGTTTGGTTTGATGTTTCTGTTTAGGTGCTGACCCCAGCACAAATAAAATCAATTTGCCTGGCCATACTAGAATCAGGAAAGCAGTACGCGGTGAAGAAGAGGAAACCATTCCCACTCATGTATTCCTACTATGGAACAGAGTATCTTGGTGAGTAAAACACACCAACCACTTTGAAAGTGTTGCTGTGTGAAGATGCTGAGCCAGTAGATGCTTCAGAAATAAAATACATAAAGCCTACAGTGTAGGATTTCTCCTGAGTTGGGGCCGTCCAACCTCTTAAAACTGCGAAGTAGGACAGGAGCTGGAGGGAGGGACTGATGCTGCCTGGTGCTGGGGAACACAGGAGATGCCTGTGCTGCACCAGGAGAGCAGCGGGCAGCGGCTTCGTTCCCTCTTCTCCTTTCTGCCCTGGTAAATCCGCCCTTGACGGCTGAAGGCAGTGAGAGGTTTGGTGCCCACGTCTGTGTGGAGGTCACCAGAGATGATATTTGTAAGCTGCTGTTGCCATGCAGGGACTCGCAGAGCAATTTTGGCCGTAGCGGTGCAACTCAAGCGTACGGTCAGCTCCTGCCCATCGCCAGCAGCTGAGTTGGCTCATCTGAAGCAGTGGTGACAAGTCATTGAGCAGGTCCCCAGTGAGGTCCTCGGAGCACAATTGCATGCTGCAGAAAGCATGAGGTTGGTTTGCAGATGTTAGTGAGTTCTCTGGCAGGGGAGCAGAGGGAGAAGTCACTGAGTGGTGCTGCTCCACAGACCCTGGCAAGTACAGACAATTCTTGCACTGAAATTTAGGTTTTAGCTGACTGATACTGTCAGTCAGCAACTGAGAATACCGTTTATGGTCCACTTTAAATTTGGGTTCAGCAAAGACTTCAGAATAATGGTCCAGATTCAGTAGTGTGGCAAGAAGAATAACATCCTGAAACAGTATTCAGTTTAGGTTTAGTTTAACTTCACACACTCAGTTTTAGTCATACCAGAGAGCAGAAAAAATTCATACGTAATTTTGCGTAGCTAGGGGAACTGGAAATGACAGAAGTAGTAACAAATCATAGTGTCATGCACCTAGAGAGCTTTTATTCCAAGTACTATTGAGGCATGCATAAGGAAGATGGAAGAGCCATGCACTTGACAAGGAAATCGGTCCCAAGGGAAAGTTGCCGTGAGATGGAGGTAGGACCTGAACCTACCCTCTAATTTTACTGTTTCTGTTCTTTACAGGTGCAGCACATGGGCTTTCGTCAATCCTTCAGATGTTGCTTTCCTACTATGAGTACCTGCAGCCAGCAGATCAGGAGCTTGTGTGGCAGAGTGTTGATTTTCTTATGGACCAAGAACAGAACAGCAACTGGCCTCCTGAGCTGGGAGAGACAATCGAGCGGGAGAATGAGCTTGTGCACTGGTGTCATGGAGCCCCAGGTTCTTTTCCCATTGATGCTACAAATAGCCAGATGCTGATCACATTGCTTTTCCACCTTAGGTGACTCCATGTAGAAGATAATCTCAGGTTAAATTTGACCGATCTTGATGTTTTATGAGATGCAGGCAAAGTATTTAGGCTTTTTCTTCCAGTTAAGAGTGTTTTATTTATTGCTGAAGCAGCTGGAATGATAGGTGTATTTTCTGCCTTAAAAGCCTAGGTGATCCCAGCTGAAAGAATTCTGGTGATCCCGAACTGTATGTTTTCTGCTCTTGCTCCCTTTTGTGACAAGACCTCAAAGAATGGGACAGCTGAGGCAAAAGACAGCATATGGCTGGACAGAGAAATAGTATGCGAAAGAACACAGATACAGACACATCTGTGAGTTTGGGGAAAGGCCTTCAGAACAGCTTTTTTCCCCCCTCATCAGAATCAAAGTTTAAGCAGCACTTGCTACATGGATAATGCATAAATTTGACCAAAGTGTTTTCATATGAAGGGGAGTTTGTACTAGCAAGAGGCATTTTTTTCTGAAAGTCACCCATATAAAACTGCTTTTTGGAGAAAAAGAGAATCAATCCTTAGTTTGGGTTCATGAGGTGAGGCTGATACCTGTCAGTTTGGAATCTAATCCTATACCGTAGCAATTTTGGCAAGTAATGCTGTATATTGAAATTGCTTTTTCAGCCCCAGGCAGAATTTTATTGCTAATTAGTCATGTTGGCTTGGTAACATGAAGCTAGAAGGTTACAGAAAAACTTACTTTTATTACAGGATGTCCGTGAGCATTGATGCATTGCTTTTAAAGGTGTTCTATTTAAATTACAAAAAGGACATTATAATTAACATGCCTTAAATGTGCTTTCTGCTGATGCATTATCTTCTTGTTGGTATGGTTAAGGAACAAGCTTCTTGCTCTCACACAGTAAGGAAGGGAAGTGAAAACAGCTTTTGCTTACCAACCTTTTTTATTTTTAAGAGGAAAAAATTACTTCTACAGCATGGCTGGCCTAGTGATGAAACCTGCAGGGAAGGTGCCCTCTTTGTTTCAGTATCTTGAGAGTGGCCTTTGACTGGGCTTTAACTGCAGTGAGACTCGACCAAAGTGACAAAATCCCAAAGGACATAAAGAAGTTACTTTAGGAGACATTTAGAGACATGCAAATTTATTAATTGCTGTTGTTCTTCCCCAGAAAATCCCATATCCCCATCACTGTTCTAGGGTAATAACACACATGTAGCTTACAAGAACATTTTTCAGCTACTTCAGTGTATATTATATTCAGACCACAAGTGAGCTATTCTAAACATTTCCTTTGGCACTTGATTTGGGTTTATATCATATGTATTCTTTTAAGGTTACCGTGAACTGAGCTGTACAGTGCTCTGTTGAAGAGTGTGATTAATTTATTTGAATCCCCTCTAAAAATAAGCCAAATAGCTTTTTTTTCCTTTAGCAGACGTTAGTATGCATAGCTGTTTATGACTAGAATAAAGCAGCATGGGCCCCAGTGAGAAAAAAAGGCAAGTTTCTTTTTCTCATTCAGTAAAAAATCGTATCTGTTGCCAGTGTAAGAAATTATCTTGTCCATCCTTGTGTTTCTGTCAGTGTAAACAGGTGACATGAACGTGGATTTGAAACCAATAGAAGGCAGTGCTAAAAGTTTACTGTTTCAAAGGCAAAAATGTGACTCCTGTTTTAAATTGATAAACGACTGGGAACGTTAGAGTAAACCCTGAAGTTCAATAATGCATTCGAAAGATAAAAGTGGTGTTGTCACAGGGAGTGGATCAGTACATCTTACCGTATGCTTTTTAGCATAGCAGATACTCTCCTCTCCGTATGTAGCATATAGATATGTAACGTTGACATGTGTAGAGCATGAGACTGCAGGTTTTTAGTGTATTAATCTTTATTTTCTCATGCGTTCTACGAAACCCTTGGCCTCCTTATTACAGAAGACAATCTCGCTGCTATTTTCCTAGGCATTGCATATCTGTTTGCCAAAGCTTACCTGGTTTCCAAGAAGCCTCAATATCTGGACACTTGTATCCGCTGTGGAGAGCTAACTTGGCAGAAAGGCCTGTTGAAGAAGGGACCTGGAATATGCCACGGAGTAGCTGGTAGCGCTTATGTGTTCCTGCTGCTGTATAGGCTCACTGGAAACTCCAAATACATATACAGGGCACAAAGGTTAGCATTCCTACCTTTCTGGATTTGGGGTAATACTGGAAAGTTTCAGGAACATTTGTAAAGCTGCTCAGAGTCTGTGATCACCATGCTGGGATGTATCCTGAGTGTTTAAGCCTCGGGTGCAATTCTGCCTGTGAGCTGTGGGGCAGGTGCACTCAGTGTGGAGCCCTGCAGTCCTGCTTCCAGGCTGGTTCTCCTGGGCTCCCTCCTTCCCTCCCTGCCCAGGAGCCTGTGCTCCTTCGGAAGGAACCGGGTTGGATGGGGAGGAACGACATGCATCCAGGTCTCATCCCGATGTGAGCTCAGAAACCAAGGGACCAACCCTCCTGGGTCCAGAAGCGGAGTGAAATGTCATTTGTTCTGATTTTCAGAGCATTTAACACTATCCCTTACTACTAGAAGTGGAAAATAAGTATAGGACCTACTTTGCTGTTATTTTACAGTTTTTAAATTTAGCATTCCCAGCTTTAGCCAGTTTGACATTGTGCTGTTGAGCTTAGATAGCGGGGTTAATTCCTTTTTGACCTGATGCGAGCAAGTATGGTCCACTGAAAATTCTGTCACAGTGCTGCAATTATCTTTAATTGTATTTCTGTAATTTACTGTACGTGTTTAAAAACATAGTATTCAATGTTTGTTACTATTTTCCTTATGGTATAGAATAATGAGGGGAAGTGGTATTGTAATTAGGGTGACTTATTTCCAGCCGTTTGCTTTGAAGTGAGAACATTTTATTTGGGTAGTTATTTCAGCATTACAGAATTCGTTGCATTGATGTGAAACATTGCTTGCATCCAAAAAAAGCTGAAATAACCAAGATAAAAGTTATTGAAAAATATTCATTTAATGATACATCTTACAGAAATCAGAAAAAGTTTATAGGTCTTAAACAAGCATAATGTACGTACAGATTGCAAAGTTTTGTCTCTTCTAGATCTAAGAGACATAAGTTTCATGTGGAAATTGGACAGTGTAAAATTTGCAGATAAGGTTAAATAATGAGCATTCTACTGTTTTTAATCATTGAATGCTATTAAAATGATGCTTTCAAACAACAAGTGAGTAGACATAGAGGGACATCGAATAATAACAAACTTTTCTTTTTTTTTCTCTCTTAGGTTTGCAGAGTTCTTATTTACAGAAGAATTTAAGGCTGGTTCCCGGGCATTAGAAAGTGTATATAGCCTGTATGAAGGTTTCTCAGGAACTGTGTGTTTCCTGACTGACTTGCTGCAACCCAACCAAGCTGAGTTTCCTCTCTTCAGTGTCTTTGTCTAGGAAGTAACATTCTCCAGGGCCACATGCTGGTGGCAGTGGGAGAGGGCACCTGCGGTTTCACTTATTTGTCAAGACAGGCTATTTACAAAACAAGCCAGTGGTACCACTAATGCTAGCCTTAACATAGCTGGAGTCATGTGAAAAAGATACACTGGGGCTTTGGGAGGGAAGCGTGTGGTCAAAAAAATCGGTCAGTGAAAAAAAGAATGGGGGAAGTGATTGAATCTAATGTGGTAGATATTTAGCTGTAATTAGAAGCAAAATCTGCTTATTCAAGTGAGAGAGAAAGGGGCTTTATCAAACTTTCAATTTGGTGATTACACAGGAGAAAAAAAAAGCAAGCTAGAATTACAGGGATATGCAAAGAAGAAACAGCGATGCATCCAGTAGGTTTTAAAAAGAGACCTGCAAAAACAAGTCTTCATGCAGCGATGCGCTTACTGGGGAGGGTGTCATAGACAGGTCACTACGCTGCACAAAGGCAAAATCTGGGATTTTGTACCTAAACCACATCTACTACTCCTAGTAACATGTATTAGAAATGCCTGTATCTTGGAGCTCTTTCATCTTCATATGCATATAATGGTAGTTATGTAGATAGGTATACATTCAGCCTGCAGTTTCACGGGTTCATTTCAGGTAGTGGGGGTTCATGTCTGTAAATGGGAGCTGAATTTGACCCTTCCTTTCAGAGCTCAGGCTGTGGCGAGGAGCTGGTCTCCTTACTGATTTAATGTAACTGTGCCACTTCTTGTCAATCCTTTCCCTGTCACAGGGAGGATGAGTGGAGCCACGGAGAAGACTTGGATCGAAAAGTTCTATAGCAAAGATACAGCAGGCAGATGTTTTCTTCACAGTACAATATTACTAGATAAGTATTGTTCAGTGATACAAAAGCTTCCTTTAAAAATTAATTACTTATAGCAGCATTTCTGAACAATTACATACGTATTTCAGAGAATGGAAAATCCATTTTCCTTGATGAATTGTTCCCTACGAACCCTGCAAACTGAATGCAAACCTTGGATGGCATACTGATCTTAAGAAAAACCTGATAACAAAACTCAAAATTGCTTCTTTTCCTAGTTAACAATATAATGTATAGGCCCAAATGATTTGTAGCTATAGAAATAAATGGGTTGCTCAACACTAGTTGCACTCGCACTTAAGGTTGCAATTATATGCTGTTTTATATGTATTATATACATTACATAGTACTTGAAAGCTAAAGAAAATGCTAACCTAGATTTGTACTAAAAAAACCTATAAAACCAGAATCTGTATTTAAAATATATTTGCTATTTATTTATTTTTATTTATATGGGAATAATGTAATGCAATTACCTTTAAAGGCAGATTGGGAAGAGCAGTATGTCAAAAATTGAAGTTAGGGTGAAAAAGCTGATGTGCGTGCACTGCCAAACAATGCGGTCTCTCTTCCTGCATTCTCAGCTGGGGGAGATTACAGCTTCTTTATTTTTAATGCCTAATGGATTAAAGTTCCCATTTAATTTCAGTGGGCCTTGATCAGGCTACAAGTTGGAGTCAGGTCTTCCAATCCTTCCACATTTTAATATAATAATCCCATTCCTACTCTTGCCACTGTTGTTTTAATGAGACGGCTTGCATTATTATGAGCTGCAGATTAGGATTTCTGCTATTTTGTCTTGCACTGTGCAGCTCTAATTAATTACTTAATCATAGAAGTAACACATTTCATTTGTGAATGAAGCAATTCAGTTCTGTATCAGTTCTTCAAGAATTTAGGGATTTTCTGGTGAATGGAAATGTTAAAATTCAGTATACAGTTGTTATGTCTTTATTATTTGTGGGATAAAAGGTCTTTTAAGAAAGGCATTAACGTCACTTACTTTGTTACTCTGAGCAGTGAGATGTGTACACGTAGGAGGATGTATTTGATAGGGAGATGTATACGTGAGGCTAAATCAAGAAGTCAGTGGAGATGCGTGTGTGCTCTGCCCAGGCATGTTGAAATGTTCCTGTCAGATCAGAGCAAAGTCAGCTGCCAGTAGTGAAGATCCTAAGTCCAGTAGGATTTTTATCTAGTTGCTCCCTGTAATGCAGGTGGCTCATGTATTTCATAGCTGGAACCTTTTTAAACAAATGTTGAAGGAAGATAAAACTTAGCCTATCCACTTTTTCCCTGTGGTCAATAGCTTTTCAGTCTCAATATTTATTGTAGGGTAATGTCACTCAGCTAAAACATGTAAGTAACATTTCTGCTGTGGCATTTAGATAGCTACTGTAACTGTATTCTGTCTTATTGTGAAACAGAGAAATGGGTTCTGCCATGATCTAGACTCAGGCTGTCGCAGTCCTGCATTTGTTGCCAGTCCTTTTATATAGACATGCAAACAGAAAACAAAAATGCCTAGTGTTTTGGTAACTACACCATCAAAAAACCCCAAACAACTCCAAACTTAAGCCTTAACAGAATCTACACATATCAGAATAGTAATCATGACCTTTTGATTTTGTCCCCAGTGCTTACTTTTTAATTATCAGTGGGCCACAGCATTTGTTTCCAGTTAGTTATCTCTCAGGAGATGCTTGAAGTAGAAAATCTTTGCCAAAACCTCAATAAATCTAGAGCACAATAAATCAGTACAGCAGCTTAGATCCTGACCAAGTCATGAATGCTGATATTGTAACATATACCACATATATGTTAAAATCTACCATAATAGCAGTAGATAAAATCACTCCATTTTATTATGCTTAACTTCCAATGGTTACGTTTGCGTTCATCTTTTAATGCAGTTCTTCATAAATAGCAGGAAATACACATTAAGAATTCGGTGTCAGTTTTCTAGTGGTTTTCCCTCTGCGTCTCTTTGTAGAACTCCTTCCTTCTGATGTACATTTTGAGGAGACTCTGATCTGCTCTGTGTTGTGTTCAACAACACCCGCAAAACAAATCTTCTGTCTCTGCAGCCGTTCTCTATATATGAAGCCGTGTGTTTGGCTTCATTTGATACTGATCCTGTGAGAAAGAAAATAGTTATTTGAGTCAGAGTTAGTTCATTCAACAATGAGAAAACCCATGCAACCACCCAGTTTTCAAAATCTAGGTCCCGAACATCTCTTTGCAAGTTAGGCAAGTTTGGCACTGACTTCAGCAAGGGCAGCACGCAAACTTTGTTTACTGACACTTAATCTCAGTAACATAAGCATCCAGTCTCATGGGATACATCTTGTAAAATCTTGGAACATAATTACTCATCTGTTTCATCAGACGTGGCAGTTTGAGCTCATTCTTAGACCTTCATGGCTTTTCTTACCTGACCTGGCTGGGTTAAGGTGGCAACTAGACATGCTGAAGTCACAGCTTCTGAACACAGTGTAAATATGCCCCAGGGCTCTTCTGAAAATGCTAATTATTAAATGAGCAGGTTTTTTTCATCTTTTCCTCCTCTTAATTGTCTATCTGCTTTTTTTCGTTTGTGCTGTATATGCTGTTACATACGTGCTGTGGCAACCTTTATTTGTTGCTTTAAGATATTGACCGAAAAGCAATCTGAGCAGAGCCATCAGCACTTTTCAGTGTAATGAAAAAATAAGGTCCTTTGTGTTCTCTCCTTACTGCTTCAAGAAATCCGTCATGCAACATTTGCTGGATGTTCTGAGTGAGATGCTGTCTCCTCCTGCTACCGAATCGGGCCCTAATGGACTGAAAAAGTGTATTCCTGAACAGATTCTGCCATGGTGCTGTGACAAAAGACTGTGTTACTGGAAACTTGAGAAGCCTCTTTCAAAGTGTAAAACACAAGTTACTATGTCACGTTTGCACATTAGTTTCTTGACTGTGTTTAGTTTCTAAACTGTAGGCAATAGGAATTTAGGTGATGTAATAGTATTTCTGATTATGCTGTTAAAGCAAAGAGGATGCATTGTGTGGGCACTGGTGCTTATTTGTGATGTACCTGTGTTTGTGTGGTGCTGTTTGTGCGTAAAGCTGTAGATTACAAATCAGTTTTAGGAGCTATATACTATTTGTGACTTTTGGTAGGTCATCCATAGATTACTGTCATGGAGTAATTTTGAGGGAAACTAGATCTGTAATGGCCAGATTTAGTGATTTCAGGATTCATAGAGCCAGATGCAATAAGTTTCATCAACCGTACAGTTCTAACAAATGTATCTTAATTTTTTCCTGCTACTCACAACTTCTCAGCATGATAACGTAATTCGTTTTGTGCCACCGCTTTCAGTATCTGCTTTGTTTGCATCGTTGTTTCCCTCAGCTTCCCTGCCTTTCTTTCCCAACCTATGAATAACTTCAGAAGGCTGAAGAAGCAGCCCAGATCTTTTGTTCTTGAAAATAAGATTGATTAATTTTGCTTAAAAGGGGTGTTCCACTTATTTGCATTACATTATTTTACGCTCCCAGGTGGTCTCTTCTCACTGGCCCTGCCATTTCCCACCTGCTAAGGAAAAATCATTATACTGTATAACTGTCAGTGATGTTTTACATCATTAAATAAAACAAAGAGAGACTTTCTAGGGAGCATGTTCACTTCTCTATTATCTCAATTCTATGAAGACAATCAAAAACAAGTGAAATGGCTAAACATCCCAAAATACACATTTCAGTAGTTCTGGGAAATATGCACAAATGAATGCAAGTAAGGTGGTCACCCTTTTTGCTTCTCTGTGAAATTAAGTAATGCCATTTTGATGTTCTAACAATAATTATATGGACATGTAGAGAATGTCATAAGAATACTGATTAGTTTTTAAAATACGAAACGTAGGTATCTGATGTATTCAGAAACATACAGGTGCAATATGTGCAAATGGAAACTTTCATAAGCAATCAAATTTTTGTACTTACATTGTTATCTGCATATAGTGTTATAGCATCTGCCAACATGCTGCATGTTTTAGGCAAACAGTGACCTATTTTAGCGTAAGCATGTATTTTGAGACTATATTCTTGTTGCTTGGACCTATAAGGTCCGGACAGAGTGTATCTCTGAGGTCTGCCAAGTAAATCTCAGGT